TGAAATCAACGGTAGGATTTCTGGAACCTGGCGCGAGCACCGCGACCACCGAACTTCTTGGGCTCGCAGCGGCGAGGATCGGCAACGAGGAGTGTGCGGTCGTACCTGACGAGGATGTCTTTGATCTCCTTCTTGGACTGCTCATCGACGTACTTCTGGTAATAGGCGACGAGAGCCTTGGCGATGCTCTGACGGATGGCGTAGATCTGGGAGGTATGTCCACCACCCTTGACACGGATGCGCATGTCAACGCCGGCGAAACGGTGGCGGCCGAGGAGGAGGATGGGCTCGAAAGCCTTGAAGCGGAGGATCTCCGGCTCCACAAGCTCAATAGGACATCCGTTGATCTTGATAAGACCACGGCCGCGCTTGCAGTAGGTGACTGCCACCGCCGTCTTCTTACGGCCGAAGCACTGGACCTGCTCTAATGCTGGTGGTGTCTGCGCCATCTTAGCACTTAGGGTTTGGTTTTCTCTCACTGCGCCTCACTCAGGAAACCTATCTGCGGTTCCTAATGTTTATGGCTTTATATATTCATCTACGGATTAGGGCTTTTGAGACTGCGGAAATACCCTCATTGCCCCCTTCCACACTATCTCATTATAAAAGAAATTAAATAAATATATTAATAGGTCATAATGTATGCTTTAATTATGTAAAAATATTAATATATTCTATATATTGGTTTAATGTTGCCCCTTTGATAAAAAAAAAACAAAATTTATAATATATTTTTTATTAAAAATACTAAGGTTATAAAAACAATTACAAAGTTATTTTATAGGTTAAAAAATTGTTATCATCATATAGTTAATATGATTAAAATTTTTGTATAAAACTTGTCATGTTTGAGATTATTCGTGGATGTTTTTGACAGATGACTCATTTTCGTAATTTTAGACAAGTTAGACATTATTTGTATTGATACGGTAAATTAGTCTTATTCCTTCATGTTTGATCGAGAGAAACACATCATTGGTAGTTTAGGGTATAAAAAAAATACTCTTATGAAAACTTGAAAGTGTGTTAAAGCTTGTGGAAATAAATCTTTTTTTTTGTATTTATATATAAGTGTGTTGGTGTGATATACTAATACTAAATATGGAAAAAACTACTAAATTCATGCAAATTGATTTTTCAAATTACTATAACATGAATTCTTGAAAGTATATTAGTAAGTCATTAAATAAGTCATTCTCATGGAACACTCTTTCATTTGTATTTGTATAGAAGTTATTGTTCATAACCACGATTTTGATGTTATTGTCAAATTAACATAAAAAGAACATAACTTTGATTAATTTAAGTATGTGTTAATTTTAAGTATGTATACGAAAGTCGTGCATACAAAGCACAAGTCTTTTGGTTTTTTTATTTAAATTGACATTGTTTAAATATCATAACTTAGAAGTTTTTATGTTGAAATTTAGTCATACAATGAATTTTCCTAAAACAAAAGTTGTGCTTCATATGCATAGTTTTGTTTATGTTTTTCTTTATTCTTTTTTTATACATGAAGATGTTTTGAATTGTATAAAACTTCTACATGTTCCAAGGTAAGAATCACATTGAATTTTATAATACTAAACAAATGTCACAATATAAACAATATTAGAGATCTAATTAACATCATCAAACTTGTAAACAACCATACATCAATCTTGATGTCTATTTAGCATTAAGCTCAACTACTACTCATTAAGCATTATATTACTTATAATAGACTCGTCTACCATTAAAATACTTTGATCACTCTCAAACTCAAAATATCACACATTTATTAGTACGATAATTTCATTATCTTTCTCATACTCACTTATAAACGAACCAGAAAATAAATCTCTTTCACTTGTTACTAAACTAGACTATTCTCAACCTCACTTGAGTCACTAATTTTAGTCACTCAACGAATCTAATTTATTTTTTCCCGTCACTATTATCATTGTAACTTTCATTCAATTTGTTGTCACTTACAAAACACGTATAACTCACTTTAGTTCAAACAATTACCATGACAGCGTCAACTTACCATATCTTTAACTTCTTTGCATCATGATGGGATTGTGAAGGATATCAAGATTGGCAGTAACAGTCTCCTTAACAGATAACACAACAATGTTCATATATATAATCATAGTAAAAAAATAATAAAACATTTGTGCATTTGAAACATGATTTCTACTTTAAAAAAATTGTATAAAACTCGAGTCACACATAATTTTGTTGTGAAAATAAATAACAGTTAAAAAAATACCCATTTGAAAAGAAACTTGCACCACTTCAGTAAATTTCCGAACAGGAATGAATTTCCCATAAAAGATAACAAAAAGTATTAGGATTTTCTTTCGACTTTTGTAATTGTTCTTCAATTTGGGCCCTCGTCCCATTTCCATAGCATAACTCCTAAATTGACCCAAATTACCTAGAGCATAAGGCTAAAATTTTGCAGGCTTTCTGTCTCTTTCGAGAGCTATTAGTTTACATCTCCATCCGGCATCTGTGAACTGCTACGCAACAATTTCCCTCGTAGTTGTAGCCCCGACAGGACCAAAGACCAAACCCCACTCGAAAAAAAGGTCCATTTAGTACACAGCGACAACAAAACACAATAATCTTGGGACACCATTTTTAAGGTTCACCCTTGAAAACAATCATCTTTCTTTCTTGTCTTCTCTTCTCTTCTTCCACCCCCACATCACCGTCTCATCTCATACACGAAAAAAAGCATATAAAGAAAAAAAAAAGAAAAAACCAATGCAGAGGCGGTTCAGGCAAGTTTGCACTTCTTTAAAAGAACGCAGCTTCATGAGCTATGCAAAGTTTGCTGCAGTGAGTGGCTTCTCTGACATGAACATCATCATCATAAAAGCAACAGCCCCAGATGACGTACCTCTGCAAGAAAAGTACATACAGCAGCTTTTGAAACTCTTTTCCATTTCTCCGACTACCTGCCACTCCTTCGCAGTCAGCTTCACTCGTCGATTTGGAACCACTAGTAGCTGGCGTGTTGCACTCAAATGTCTTATTCTTCTTCACCGTTTGCTTCGTTCTGTCCCGGGAAAAAGCACCCTCTGGAATGAACTATTGTGGACACGTTCCAATGCCTTGATTTCTCTCCACCCTTGCCATTTCAGGGATGAATCTTCCTCTTGTCCGGTTTCCTTCACAAACTTTGTCACATCCTACGCACACCTTCTGGATGAAGCCCTTAACTGCGTTGCTTTTGATGACAACACAATCGAAGGACAGGAAGTAGATGAGAAAGAGGAACCTACGGCTGCAACTGAAAGTTTTCAAGAGAAAATGAAGGAACTGGGAGAAATGCTTGAAATATTGCCACAATTACAAAGCCTTATAGATAGGGTGATGCAATGTTATCCAGTAGGGGTTGCATCACGAAGTTTTATTGTGCAGTGTGCCATGAAACTCATACTTCGTGACAGCTTCGTTTGTTACACAAAATTCAGAAGAGAAATAGTTGGGGTTTTGGACAATCTGCTTGAGATGCCGTATAGAAACTGCATAGCCGCTTTCAATATATACAAGAAAGCTGCAGTTCAAACTAATGAACTTTACGAGTTTTATGAGTGGTGCAAGGTAAAGGGTATGTGTGGACAGTACGAGTATCCTTCGGTGGAGCCAATTCCATACATACAAATCAAGGCTTTGGAAAGTTTTCTGAGTGGAATGTGGCAGTTAACGGAGTCTTCGTCCCCAATAACTAGCCATTCATCATCTTCTGCGGCATCTCCTTCGGATTTCACTGAAAGACAAGTAGTGACGAGAAGAGATACTGATGACATCAAAGGAAAAGTGATTGAGGCTGAAGAAGAGAAGCCTTTGATTGAACCAGAAAGAGAAGACGACGAGAACCTTAGCTGGGAGACAATTTTGGAATCCTCTGTTAGTTTTAGCCATGCTTATCAGAGGGACCTATGCAGCTCCTTCTATCAGCTAGGATGGGAAGGAGGATATGGCATCGAGCAACATAGCTTTAAGGCGAAGAAAGAACACAAGCACGAGCATGCATACGACACAATGAATATCGCCGTTCACAAGTCTCCTACAGCTACTCAAAACCCATTCTCCGAACCATATTGCTGTTCCCCTCAAGTTTAATGAGATATTTTTTAGAGATCATTCTAGCCCTTGGCAATACATGAGGTCCATAATGCATTACATGTCCTGTATTCATGAAATTAAAATCGCAGTTCCATTATCATTGGATTTACCTTTCGTTCAGGATCTGCCATGCATTCAATTTAAAAAAATCAGCTATCTTCGGTAATAGAGGTACTCCAGAAATCAACCTATATATTGACTAGGTAAATAAGGATGGTTATATATAATATTGTTTTGGAGCGAAGTTGAAAACCTACTAACAAATGGCAAGCAAACTTAAAATCGGTTACTTTCACAAAACAACTCTACTATATTAGTAGTGTTTAATTAAATAGAGAACAAACTCCATGATAACTATAAATAATCATGTATTTAAGTGTATGTATGAATTCATCGAACATATACTCGCATTGATTAAAACAAGTTGCGTCTATGTCAATGAATTTGACAAAGGAAACTATAAATTGAGTAGAGATGTATGTATGAATTCATCATACATATACTCGCATTGATTAAAACAAGTTGCGTTTATGTCAATGAATTTTAATTTAATAATGTGTACAAACAAATACCAATGTATAAATATAGATAGTATATATAACACATCAATAGAACGTGCTAACAGAATAATCATGTTAAGAGGCTCAATTTCAGAAGCTTGGTTTTAATAACCAAACAAACATCCAGTATTGGGGTTCAACAATTTAAATGCATGGATATGTAACCACAGGTGCAACGAAACCATCTTCATGAAAGACCACCGAACAGTTGCACCAAGTCTACAACATCTATGTTTCCTAGGTTTGTCTATTGATGTAAATGAAGGTTTAAAAGAAATAATCACAATTTTTGAAGTACATTTGACGACCACCGGCCATCGAGAATATACAACACTATATACAAGTCTATAAGAGAATTCATAACATTTCATGCTCATTTCTGAAAGACTAAACAATTCCAACTCTGCCGAAATCTGGCAGAAGTTACCAAAAAAGTGAGGGCTGACAGTGAAAAGTGTTGTGAACCCACCACCTCAACTCACGCACAAAGTTAGCATTATAGCACGTGCATGAAATGAAACAACCTTCAAAAAAGTTTAGTTGCGAAATCGCCCCTTTTGATTTGCTACTTCCGGTGCCTCCGCTTTTGATCAGCTCTTTGTCTCTTCTCATCATCCCATTCACGATCATACAAGCTAATACTCAATTAAGGTCACAGCACTTAACAAATATAATAATGGAAATGTGAATGGACATTAAGCAATTCAAACATTCATAAATGATAAAATATAATGCATGTTTAGGCAACTCATCAAACAAGGACTCCATACCACGATTCCCTAAGTGAAGGATGTAAAACGTAGTGGACATAATACATGCAAATGAAGGGCACATAAGTAAACAGTCTAGTGATGCCCTCCACCAAAAATATATTGAAAGACACGAAATCATGAATTAAAATAATAAGCGTGCATATCAACAGGTGAAGGATACGGGTCTGAATCACGGCGATTCAACTTGCTGGCCACCTCTTTACCGTGAATCCTGATATTTGGTTCATCTATGTAGTTTGGATGCTGGATGACGGGTCCCTTTCTGTCTCCCCTGTCCCTTCCATCATACCCCAGTGACATACCAATACCAGGGGGAGGAGGTGGAGGAGCCACAGGTGAGTACTCCCCAGGTTCACCAGTTGCTAGGTGCTCCCTCTTAAGTTTCCGTCTCTTGGATGCGGCATTTAAATCCAAGTCTTCCTTTAGCACATTAACTTTCTCTCTTTCTCTCTCCCTCTCTTCAACCTGCATTAGAGATCAGAAAGACTATTTAACATCTTAAGAACAAAGAACGGCTAATCACCCGTCTTTCCAAACACCAGAAGAGACTAAAAGGTGTTGAAAACAAGCTAGTACTAGTTAGTAAAATATCAAGTCAAACATAGAAAAGGGAAAAAACCTGCCAATGCAAGACATTTAAGTATGTAATAATGAAATAGTATAAATTCCAAGGAAAAACAAGCTGGAATAAATCTTACATTCAGATATTCTATATTCTTGCAATACTTAACCCTGCTAAAACTGTAACAATAAAATCATCATAATTTCTTTCAAACTGAGTTGTTTTTTCATTTGTTTCACTCACTTTCAACTTCCAGTGATAATAAATATATTACCCATTACGACTTCAACAAAGAAATCAATAGTTCTTCATAGAAAACCATGATTGTTAAAAATATAACAGTCAGTTATTTGTTATCAAATTGACAACTATTATAACGTTCACACTAATCCATAGGGCTACAACGTGTATAAGTCACAAAGTAAATATCCTTCTTCAGTAGCAGATAATGTAGAGTGAGAATTGATAATCAATATTTATCCATACCTTAATCTCTTCACGTTTTCGATCTCGAAAATCATCTTCTTTTCGGCGTTTTGAATCATCCTGAGAAACCACAGTCTCTTCTGATCGTCTCCGTTCCTTTTCTTCATGCCTTGGAGAAAGTCTTTGAGAGTGCCTCGTAGCTCCATACCTCCTATCAGCATCTTCATCACGCCTACCAGCTCCCAAAGATTGAGGAACCATATTAGGAGGTAAAGGGGGTGGTGGAGGCAAGTTTTGACCATGGAAGCGATCATCAGCGTGTGATTTTTCTACTGATGCATCACTGTAACGTAACTTATTTCTATCATCCTTGCTTCTTTCATCCTTAGCTTTCTCAGGGAGTCTATTAAAACTCCTCTCACTACCCCTCTCTTGCATTCTCTCAACAGATCGTTCTCTTCCATATCTTTCAAGGGACCTATCCCTAGGTTTTTCTGCTACAGAGTCATCACCCCGAGACTTGTCCATACGGTCTAATCTTTCCCTGTGGTCCCTGTCATATCTTTCATTGCCCTTGTCTTTTGGCCGTTCCAGTGACTTATCACCTGCCCTGTACAGACCATGTTCCTCTGGTCCCAATTTTTCATCAGAAAAGCGAGGATCCATCAACTTATCTCTTTCAGAGAATCGAAATTCACTTTCAAAATCTCTTACCTCAACATCTCCTTTTCGTCGTTTACCTAGTCTGTCTGGTTCTTCAGCAGAACTGGCTCTCTTCTGAACTTTTTCATTTGATTTTGAAGTGATTCCTGTGTTTTCATGCCTGGGGGAATGAACTACGCGAGAAGAGGATCCTCTAGTGAAATCAGTGGTATCATTTCCTTCATCCTTCACCACAGATGCTCTACTATCAGAAGACTTGGCAACTCCAGCCTCGGCCTTTGATTCATTACCAGGACCATCCAATGAAATCCTTATTGGTGGGTTTGAACCTTTAGTAGAACCTGTAATGGTGTTACCATTAGCACTGACTAAAGAAGTTACATTGGTAGTTCCACCGTGTCTTCCCTCCAATGCATGGGTTTGTAGATCCTTGTCACTACTCAAGGAGCCTGAAGTTCTAGCAACAGGTTTTCCAGACCTACTATCTTCTTTTACAGGCTCTTGTTTTGATGGTTTTGAAAGTGAACCAGTAGGCACCGAACGCTTTGCTGAAGCTCTTGACTGAAAACATGGGAACCAAATTATTATGGATAAAATATAAAATTGGAAAACTATAATAATATTGAAGATTAGAAGAAAAAGGATAAAATGGCATCTTATGTTATCATATAATTTAAGAAACATTGTTTTAAAACAATTAGGTTTAGCAAATGATTGATTATTTTATTCAACATTAAACTTCAGTCCTAGATTTCTTATCATGTAATAAAACTTGGGGCTAAATTAATCAAGTCTTTATGATGATAGGATTATTATCACCTTCTGGCCCAATTTTCTTGCAATACAGTATTAAAAATTCTTGAGCTTAATAATTCTCGCTGACTATTAAACAATTTGGCCAACCAATCAATACTTATATCCAACTTCGGTCCTAAATCTTATTCTTCAACCCAACGATATTATACTTTTAATCCCAAAATCCATGCAAGAAACCTTGCCACTAAACTATTAAAACTGAAATACTAATTGCTACCTCAGCATTTCTTGTTCCATGTTCATCTGATGATCTATTTATCGATTCTTCCACTTGCTTTGAGTTTTCCATAGACTTTGACACCCCAGATTGCATAGAAGGTAAGATCGAGGATGTTTGGGCATCTAATCCATTTACCATTGAACCACTCTTGACTTTTGTATGGCCAGAATCAGATTTTGTCACAGTCATGCTTTCAGTTCTTTCAGACTTTCCATCTGCAGATTTTGTTCTTATTACCTGATCTTTGGCCGTGTTTCCAGAGTCCACATGTTTTCCACTGGCAGAATCATTTTGTGAAACATTGAGATTCATCCCACTATGCACAGTTGCTGAATTTCCAGCTGAAGATTTAGTCACAGTTGGTGCAGGTTTCAACTCAAGATAACCCATACCAAATTCTTCATCAGTCACCCAAGAAGGCTGCAAAAGGAGTTAGAATTAGTATGTTGAAACAAAATAAAGGTAAACCTATAATAAGTGACACACCTTCCTAGCAGCCAATGCTGCTGCAACACCAGTTGCCAACACCTTAAGATCCTCTCTTTCATCACTTTTAATCTTAGCTACCTGCGTGGAAGATGCAACGACTTAAATGTAATATTATAAATTACTAGTACAAGCAAAGTTTATAATAAGGATATCTTACTCGCTTCTCAAGGTTTATCCCACTCTTCCGGGTAACTGGGAAAACACTAGAAATTTTTGTCAACATTATAAGTGCATTTCTAATTTCCATGTACTCGCTAGATTCCAGACACTGAATTAGTAAACGTGTGATTCTTTGACTCCACTTCCAGTGTACCTATCCGCCAAAAAGTAAATACCAAAATCTATCATTTGGCATCATTTAACATTCAGTAGACTAATAATAGATCACAATTAAATAAGTCAAAGCCTTAAGAAAGAATCTATATAATTTATAACAATTAATAATGGGAATTGGATTTTGTAACTGTTTTTTCGTGTACATATTTATTTTACCTCTTTTACCCCTCATTCTCTTCAATGACCCATCTAAAACAAATTACGCATAATTTAATTGTATAATTATAATAATAACTAGTAAAAATTAAAATATCTTATAATTGTTTTTATACATATCTATTACATATGAAGACATCTTAGTTCAAGTTGGAGAGAATGAATATGCTAGTAGAGGTGGTGTTTAGCACCTTTAGATGATTTGGAGATTCCTCCAATTATTGATAATGAAGAAGGTCCTAGAGGAGAGAATATCAAAGAAAATGAAGATCATGATGTAGAGGACAACGATGATTATCCTGCTTTTGATATGAAAGATTTCCTTGGATAGTTTATATTAAACATTGAACAATTTATTAGATTTTTTATGCTTCTCCAAACTTACGAACCTATTTTAATTGTTATGAACCCATTTTATGAATTATGTATGAGTTATTTTTATTATTTATATTATTTTAAATGATGCACCTATTTATGATTATAATTTTTTATTTACTCTAACTTTCACTAGTCGAGTTACTATCCTCAAGTACGAGTTTTCATTCCCTTTTCGATCCCCTTATGATCCTCGAGTTTGAAAACATTGCTCCAAGGTGACCACAACTAAAGTGGGCTAAGTGCGTCCACAATTAAAATGACTTTCTAATAATATTTTATATTTGTAATTATTTCTAGTGTATAATGCGCAGGTGATATGCAAGTTGAGATAGAGTGGAAAAGCAAGTAGATCTACTTAACGGTAGCAAAGAGATTCATCGCAGTTAAAACCAGTACAGATTAGAACTTACCTTAATGAACTGCCCATATGTAACTCGTTGACTATCTGGATATCTATAGTAAACGGCAAACCCTGGCATGTTTCCACACTCACGTTCATAAATAGATTCATCACTCTGGAAAAGAAGGAATTGAAAACATAGCAAACATTAAAAAAATGAAGTCCTTAAAATTATATTTGAAAAATAAAACGGTAAAGAAAAACACAAGTACCTTCCAATAGTAAGCTATCTTCAAAGTCTCATACAGAAACCTACCAAGCCTGCCTGCCTCGTATTCAGTGCAGCAGCATATCATAGGTTGTAGGGTCTTACAAATTAAAACATCTATATGATTGACTGTGTTAAAAAAAGGGGTTCCAAGGGAATGAAGTGTGTGGACAAACATAGCACAATAAACAGCATCTGGCATACTGAAAGTACAGCGTGGAAAAATACAGCGCTGAAGAAACTCCATGTTGATCTTCAAGGTGTCAGGACAGGAACTTAACCATATTTTTTTTTCATGAGAAAGACGTCTATGAACAGATGCAACATTCTCCTCGTGTTTATGAAGTTCACTAATCAGCCGATCAAGAGATTCTTGAATTCTTTCCTTTTCTTTCTTCCTCTTTGTAATTGCTGAGCTCGAATTGTCAGAAAGCTCCTCCAATGATTTAAGATTTGCATGCAGCTTGCCTATTTCTGACTCGTATCGATTTTTCGGGACATATAGATCATATAACGTAAGACCCCAAAATGTTGCATAAAGATCGGGAGATAAGCTATTCCATGCTTTTGGAGGTAACATGGTTTTAACAGTATCAAGAAGATACGACCAACTGGATACAATAATAAAATAATAAATACTAATCCACAACATTGAGAAAATAAACTTTGCACATCTTATTGCATATCAGAAACAGATAATAATTTACATTTTCAGATTTAACTATTATGGAATCTAAAACATCTTGCAATGAAAAAGGTTAGGGTTGTAACCTTATAGGATTTTGGGCAGAGCCAAGATTTAGTACCATACTACCAGAACTATCCAGAGGATCAGACTCAAAGTTAGAAGATGCATCACTAGCACCACGTTTATCATCCAAGGGCCAATAAATATCAGGATCTCTCTGAGACTTGAAAAGCCTCATTATGGGACGATATATCAAGAAAGCAACCTAGTCCAGGGGTAAAGAATGGCAGTAAATACAGATAAAGAGAAAACCATGACAGAATAGCAGATAAAAAAATGTAGCAACTACCATAGATCATGTAGGAAGTTCATATAAATAGAGGTAGAGGGGAAACAAAACCTCGGGGTCTAGGTGGTAAAGGTGGACTAGGTCATGGAGGGAGGGAATAAGAATGCCATAACTTGATGATGGGGTGACTGCACTGCCAAGAAATTCCACATATTGAAGGAGAGTTCCATGACATCTATCAAACTGCTCGCTAACCATCTTAATGTAGGGTGCATCTGCATTTACGACAGCTCTGCAAAACATTAAATTTTGAGAAAAGAATCTTGATAGACAATTATAACATTTTTTTAAGATTACAAGCTTACAGAGATCGATGTTGAGCAAGAAGTAGTAACAGTGGGATTGCCAACTTTGGTTCATCTTTTGGAAGTAATGCGTCTCTCAGTCTGCTAGTTGACTTTATCAATGCCTGCACTTATTAGCTGATAACTTAAGCAACTTACCATGCCAACCCCAAGTCAGATGTTGAAACTTATAAATAAGTAGTAACTAAAATTAATTAACACTAGAAAATTCATTATTTTGCTGTAATGAAAGAAAAAACAATGCAACCAAAAAAATATTCAAACAAGAGCAGTTGCACTGGTTTTGCTTTCTTTACACTAATAAAGAGATCATAAGCATACTTCTAAATAAAATAGTGCACTAGTTTGCTTTCTTTACAGGAAATTAAGGAAAAGAGATCATTCAACTAATTCACACTTATCTACTTCAGGAATTTAAATCTATAAACCTCCAATTATCATGGATAAATCAAGTGATTTTCATTCAGCATACGTCTCACAATTTTCTAAAAACCAAAATATAATCTGATATGTTAAGTAACCAGTATCAGTACATGCAAAAAAACTTGGCCAATGCAAATTAACACAGGGAATTGACATTTGCCACACTTAAAAACTGTCCATTATACGGAGTAGAATTTCAATCCATACAAACAGCAATGTCACTAATGTCTTGCTTTAGAGAATCTTCTAAGACAGAGATTTTGTACCTTATTATTCCGAGTTACACCAAAAGAAGTTGCTTGATATCTGAGAGTGTCACTCCCTGCCATTGCATCAAGCTGTTCCTCAGTCAAGTTCTCTGTGTACTGGACATTTGCCATTTGTTGAATAAGCTCCTAAACAAACCCACAAAAGTATTCATTAGCAGCCAGCATTTGATTTTTCTTGCGAGCCATAGCTCAGATTATACATTATTAGAAAAAGAGACAGAAGAAACACCTGCAGTAGAACAAGCTCAATTCCTTGCCCCTTTTTTAACTGATTCACAAGATACTGGAAGAGGCCCCGTAATTCCATTGATGGGTACTTCTTACACCTATAATGAAAAAATGACTATTAAAACATTCAAAGAAAATTGTTCTTGAAGCAGTAATCACTCAAATCCTACTCAATATAGAACATAAACAGGCAATAATAAAAACGAGCAATCATAGGCAACATCAACAGAAAACAATTTAAAGTAAAATGAAAGCACAATTTCATATATCTGTCAGTATATATCAATTTCCACACAGACCAGAAAAATATAGCAACATATAGGATGAAATTGCAGAATCATATGGCAAGGAAATCAAGTTCTTACCACCCACAAAAGATGAATGAACTCAACAATGTAACCTATGACATATGACATATTCACTCAAGACGTAATCCTAATTGGATCCTACATTTGTTCGCATTATTTAACAGTAACATCAACCAATTAATTTTGTCTTTTCTTGTTTGTACGCTACTTGATTAAGTATATATAATTTGATTATTATTTTAACTAGAAAAAATGTTGCTAATTATTTCTTTGATCGCTTGCATTTTTTTCTGCATTGTCAAAGATTGGAGACATTCCTCCAATTTCCAAGTGTTGTTCACAGTAGGTAACAGCTCCAGCTCTGAGAGGCAAACTAATTACATAATTAAGGCACCTTTTGAAGGAGATGACCATTAAAACCATACTTAAATTCACCAAACAGAACTCAGAAAAGCTAATACATAATATAAACACAAATTTTTTTGTTATATTATTACACACTCAATATAATATTCAACAAAAGGGAACACTGTAGAGAGAGAAAGAGAACAACCAAACCAAACTGCTCCAGGCATTTCAATCCCCATCCCTCCACCAAGGCAAAACAAATTCCTAGCAGAATATTGGCACCCAAAGTTGGTCAGGGTTTAACAAGTATGCCCAGCAAAAATAGTGTGGCCACAAGCATATCATTCTTCATTACTGAGGTATATGGCAAAGTAAGACCAGATATTAGAAATGTTATGCTATCCGATCATCAGAAGATGGGTATCTCAGTGCTATACAGTCAATACGATAATCAAACATCCTGATGCAATGAACTATTGTTGACCAATCAAGTAAACTACTGGTGATTAGGTCAAATGAAAAGCCTTAATTTCAATCATCCTCTTTTCTGAAGAAAGAATACACTATCTATCAATATTAGTCGTCCATTGGGTTCATTTGTGCAGTGAACAGTTTCCACAAGAGTAAATGGTTTCCTTGACATCTTTTCATCACCATTTGCATCACAAGAGGACAACTTAGAAGAATGCTACTACAACCGAAGGCTCATCAGAAGGATCCAAACCTACATGTTATCAGCCCAGCAACAAGGACCAACCATTCGTGTCTAACAGTAGGATTTTAGCAAGAATGACTAGTCATCATATTGCAATCACTCGGTAAACAGTTCAGGTTCCATACATGGGCAACAACTTATGAATTTGTATCCTTATTACTTTGAAAATCATCATGAACTATGTGTAGACAAAACGGTAATGTATAGTTACAAGCACCAGCCCCCCTCCTTCACATCATACTGCATAAATGCAACTAAACTGACCATCCCGTCATTAACATTAGAAATGATCAAAAAATCATTGTGCAGCACACATATCATGCATACAACACAGGCCATCTTTCACATAATAAACCTTGAACACTTCAGACTGATGTCATTGCATTTTGTAAGTACCCATTGTTTCATCTCCATCAACTAATTGTACATGGCAACAGTACGGACCATTCCAAGATACATATGGAAGACCAAGATCCAACTTAATGAACAACTCATTCAAATGAGATAATTCTCCATCAATCATGGTACAGTGACCGCAGCTCACATGTCACGTCTATATCATAAATGACACTTCTTAACCTTGTCAGTCTCCTTTACCAAATTATACGTAACAAATGAACCACAGCACAGAACGTCCACCCCTTTCAACCAATAGATAACCATTCTGAAAAATCTGTCAGCAGATACCAGAAATTGAACACCATACAGCTGTCTGTGCATGTCCACCAACTAGCCAATGGTTCGAATTTGATCCGACAGTACCACTCAGGGACATAAAAATGCTGCTATGTCCAGTAATCCGGCATCTGCTAAGGTTGATCTGCAACCTGGAATTTGATAGAAGGCATCCCGCATATATCTAAATTCTATAGGAAGACATAAATGTACAAATATGACTAATAAATGTTATTATCAACATTATTACTTAAGCATCATACAAAATTCCAATGATATAAGAGTCTGCATAAACTGGAAGAGAAAGAAAGACACAATCATCTAACAAATTGTAGACAGCCTAAATTTGTTGCAAAGACAACACGTTGCTATTAAATTGATGGTTTAATCAGCAGAATAATATGTGAAGAAAAAGAGAAACCAAACCACAAATTTCAATATTCTATAACAAAAGTGGCAAGGAAACAACAAATAACTTACAGATGGCCCCAAAATGAGGCTAGAGATTGAAGCCAGTCTGACAAATTAAGGCCATCGTCCTTTAACTTATCACGTCCACCAAGTGCTAAGCGCTCAATCACAACATATTCCAATATATCATACTCAAGCTGTTAAGAAAAAAGTAAATAAGGTTCCAGGTGGAGAACTATCTTCCAATTTCAAATCAACTTCAAACGATAGAAAATACTGAATGCACAAAAACCTTATCCAACCAAGTGAAATCGGCTATATGGATCACATAATACTATTTCGTCCTATGTTCAACTAAAAACAACTTTGACAAATAAATTGTGAAATTTTCTCATGAACGTGTCAAAAGGATAATGATAGTGTCCTTATTTTCACCACTTGTCACTTCTGTCAGTCAGTTTTGACCACTGATTTTTCTTGTTGTCTATTAAAAAATATTTAGAAAAAAGACCACAACAAAACAAAAGCATAACAGCTCAATTTAAATGATTAAATTAGAAAAGAACATTCCAAAAATAGGAGCAAACTACAACTAACCATCTTCCCAAAGACACCGTTTCATGTCCTTAGAAACTCCTAACATCTTAGTATCTACACTTAAAAAGGTAGTAGGAAAATTTAACAAGAAATTTGAATCTACATTGGATGCAAGCAAGGTTATCAAATTCAAGAGTTTACGTGAACTCGTGAAAGCTCTGTAAACTCGACTCGTAGACTCGAATCGTAAACTCGTATGAGTTTACTTTTTTATGAAAAAAATTATAAATAACATATTAATTCAAATATTATAATAAAATAATTAAACAAAATAGTTAAATTATTTTATTTCTATTTTTTAACAAATAAGATAATTTAGACTACTATTAATTAAATTTGATTTATTCCTAAACATACTTTAAATTATTCCTAATTTTAGTTTCCAACTACAACATTACAATACATTATACATTTATTAAATAATTAAAAATAATCTCTAATTCTTAATTAAAAATCTTAATATATATATATATATATATATATATATATATATATATTACCTTTCTAAAAGGTGCACACCACGAGAAAAAAAAAACTCACAAATCCCCTAAGTCCCTTTCTGCAACTGACAAAACTCACAAATTCCCTAAATCCCTTCCTCCAGAAAACAGTGTGCAGCTGAGGAAAAAAAACTCATCTTTTTGAAACCGAGAACACTAAAAACAACCTGAGAGACACGAATGGCAAGCGAGCAAACGACGACACAACTATGCCACAAGCAAGCAACGACACGGTGAGCAAACAGTGGCACCGCGAGCATGAGCAAACGGTCGCGCCGCGAGCGTGAGCAAACGGTAGCACCACGAGCAATGAAGAGACAATCGTGCGGTGAGACGCCATTTTATTCATGACAAGTTTTCCTTTTTCAGTTTTGCGCACCAAACGGTTATGGTTGTTGTCGTTTTTGGTTTAAAAAATTTCTTCTCTAAACTCGCCAACTCGATTGCAAACTCTCGAGTTTGGACGAGTTGACCGAGTTTGCTTCCGATTCTACCGAGTTTACATCAAAAGCGAGTTTACTTCCGAATTAACTCGGAAGCTGTGTGTTGAAACGCAAACTCGGACGAGTTAACGAGTTAACTCGCGAGTTTGATAACCATGGATGCAAGAGTACAGAAATACAATACAATCAATTTCCAAAGATTTAATTCATCAGTTGAGGGCCATAAAATTCTAAATACTCACTAATGGAACTTAGTTACCACAATAGAATATAGGTTTCATGTCTTACTGCTTATTATGAGGTCACAGATTAAGACGTCACTAATGGATTCAGCAAACACAAAGGAAAGAAAAACGCAAAAACATGTGCACACCTGAGTCAGGTACTTAAATGCATCCACTACAGGAGTAATCATGTCTCTGTAAGCCTCAATCTGCACATCACATAATTTGAAAAAATTTACAACGATAGAATGGAAATCATAAAAAGCAATCAGGTCCGTTCAGTATCTCAAAGTATAAACGTCCTAATAAATTAGCACCTGATGAACAATTGTTCGGAGGACAGTCATTGGGTTGGCATGAGCTAATTTTGCAACCATCCGACCTAGCTGCTTCAAATTTTCCTTTGCCAGCCTTTTCAAAATACGCCTAGTGTCCAACTGTACAGAAAGAGTAAAGAAAATGAGAATAACAGAGAATCAAGCTTGCAACATTCAGTGCAGATGGTACATAACATGTATAGATCTGCACACCTTGGCAGTTTGTCTTGCAGCTAAGAGCATAGGAATGTGCTCATCATCTTTTTCCCATTCACCATACAAACGATATCGCACCTAAATACATAACATTCATCAACCAAGCTTAGCTAACAACAAAACATGTAAAAGGCTAAACATTAATAAAAAGAACCTCATAAGGAAGAAGACTCATTAGTTCCCATATCTCCTGCCCAACAGCAGGATTGGCGGGAATTAACTGCAGAGAAGGAAGTACACATGCTCCTAAAGCATCCTCCACCCTTAGCCGTGCCTCCTTAAGATGTAAGTTAGGGTTTCCAGGAAAATGCAATTGAGGATTCAAGGCACCATTGCCACGACTTACAAGCTCAAGAGCAGAAAGGTAATAACCTCTCAAGACCCTACAAACCTAATCATATTTTAAGAGAAAATGGAAGAGGAGAAATCCTATCAGCATTAAAAAAAATAGCAAGGACAAAGTTAACAAACTAACAGAACAACTTAACACACCTTCTGCAACAGTACAGTATCACGGTAGAGATAAGGTCCAGTACAAGAAAGCATCTGAAAAAGTTCCTTAGGAAGATCTATGAAAGAATTATATCCTGAAGTGTTATCAACATCCATAACATCAGTGCCTCCTGACGATGATCCAGGATTTTGAAGATGTGTCTGACGGACAACATCATATGCTGAACAGATGGTCTTCTCAATAAGTCTGGATGAGATCCCAATATTATAAGATCAGAGAAAATACGGGCATTCAGAAAAATTGTTAGCCGCATAAAAATTCAAACGTAAATGGCCTAATAATACAGGGCATTAAATGCACGCACATACTTAAACACCTAGGCCTCTCATGAACATTGGACGTAAATTTGGAATAGGTCATGTGTTTGACACTGGTTTAATATCTCCAGTCAGTTTCAACATCCAACACTCACTGACATTGGCTTAATCACAGTTCCAAATATGCTGTATCATGGTCCAGTTCAAAAAGCTTCGGAAGAAAGTAATGACATTTCTGTTATGTGACTCAATGGTATAAGTTATCGCTATGCAAGATAACATCTTCAAGGGTATCCCATTTGGCCTCGCTTCAGGATAAGATAGATTTTCTGGCTTCCGTTAAGTGCCCGGTATTCATAGCAGTTTCAAATGAGGTTTCCCAAGATTGTAGATTGAGCATTTACTCATAGGATCATACAAACGGTCCAACAAGTTTAGGAGCTAGATGGTCCTCAAGTCTAAGCAAGATCCAGTGGAAATAAGATAAGTGTAGGATTATTGAATTCACTAGCTAAAACACATGATTGCCACTCTCCTCTAACCAGGGGGTTCATGCTGTTTGGCAGATCAGATCTGGATCACATGACTTAATGAAGGAAAAAGAGCAAAAAAGGTCTCCCCAAAAATTCCTCTTTCATCACTCTCTACACAATTCACATTTTCCCTCACTCAACTTATACCAGACTTCTCACCCTACATTTTTGTGTCCTCTCTTGGGTATAGGTTGTTAATTCCCACAAGGCCATGCCTATGTTGTGGTTCTTATCCCATGCCAAAGTCATGTAATTTTTTCTCCTGATCTCTCACTTTCCATTGAAACTTCATTGATTACTGTCCAAAAAATGGAAAGTTGTTCGAGACATTTGGTACCCCATTTGCTTGGAGTTTTAATCAATAATTTTCAATGCTTGCACTTGTACTAGACAATTTTATGCACAACCTTAAGTGTTGATTGAGATTTAATGATTAATTTCTTGTATGTTACTTTATATCCATGTGTGTTTTAAATATAATTTTGTATTTTAGTATCATTTTACTATCTATGTTATGATCCCATGAATTATGTTTCTTCTACACCTCTGATCCTATATAGGATTACAATTTTGACAGCATATTTTAAGTTTCTAATATGCAGAGGCATTAGACAGCAAGGATGCAATTTTGGGATGATAGCATTGGTCTTTCAGACCCTATGGCTTACTTATCCTTTTTTCTTTTAGACTTCGGGTCCCTGTTAAAAACAACATCCTCAATTGGGTTCACACTTTTAAGAAAATCCAATATCCCAAAAGAACACTTTATCATCAATACTGTTGGAAATCTCACAAGACATAAGACCAAATTATAGTATATAGTACAAACTCCACCTACCAAATCGACTTTAAAGGTTAAATTAAGTTTAAAACTCATTAATATGATGGTATCAAAATCTATCCTAGTAAGGTTTCGACAGTCATCAAACTACCAATAAATATTTAATTTTCCGTTCGAGATGTTCAGTCCTCAACAAGAAGGGGTGTGTCAGACATCCCACATTAAATAGATATAAGGTCAAATTATAGTATATAAGTGCAAGCCATACCATACATAGTTGATTTTGTGAGACTAAATTAGACTTAAAGTTCACTTTCTAATAAATACATTCAATGGAAATTGGAAACACAAATCCAAAAATGTACCCAAATAGAAGATTTTCAATGTAAAGTGAAAGGGAAAGAGAAATAGTATACATCAGTTTTACCTGAACAAACTATCACATATTTGACTATGTTCCACAGCATTGAGTGGTGAAAGGCGCTCAAATAATAGATATGCATGATACCTAGGGAGGGGAAAAGCAGAAAATTTCAAAAACATACATTTGCTAGAAAGCAATTATATGAACACGTTATATTATACAGAAACTATTTGAGCCATAAATCAATATTTATGGACTAGTGAAATCAAAACTTCAGTAAAAACTATATAGTTTGAGAGCTGCAATATATCTTAATACGTGTAGCTGATATTGACAGAGTTACCATGTAAGAAAACATACTGATAAATAGGTGATGTTATAGAAGAATGGTAAATATCTCCACCACACGGAACCAACGAGAAATTCCATTATTTTCATTGTCCGAATAGATCAATATATTTAGTATGCTTTGGCACATCATACAAAGCAGTTTGAACATTAATCACTAAGATAGAAGGTGGAAATTTATCCACTGTGAAGACATCAATTAGCAAACCAGGTCAAAAGAGAAAAAACAAGATAGCTAGAGGTAATAAGAGTCTTTCCCATCACATGCTATAGTAGATGCATAAATCAAGCATACCAGTCATCCACCGAAAGAAAGCCAGTGAGCAAGCCCAAAGTCTGACTGGTTTGAAGCTCATTTGTCCGCTCTTCAGTTGCTTCTGTTTCAAGGTCTAGGGCAGCAAAGAGATCTATACTGACATCCCCCTGTTTCTCATCATCCATTAGATCTTTTCCAGTCGCAGCAAGGTTTATTCTTCCAATTTTATTAGCCTATAGTTAACATTGACAACCTCTTAAAAAATGCCGCATGTATTTTGATATTATGCAAGATCAACACTCAACACTGACATGTTTCAATTCAAGCAACGAAATTAACATGCTTGTGAAAATTATTTTCCTCACATACCAAAACCAAATAGTTCAAAACACAGAAAAATAGTGTTCTGAACCAGAAGCATATAGGAAAATAGACAGCCTTGTTGAAATCTCGAGACAGTTTGGCTCATTTCCTTCCACTTTTCCTTATAGAACAAATTTCACACTCTTGAGCCAGAAATACTTAACAAGAAACATTTTTCATCCCAAAATAATAATAAAATTCAAGTAATTAAAGTTGACCATGTATTCAATAAAAGCAAGAATACCTCTTCCAGTCGCTTGGAAGAGAAAGTATTGTAATGCTCAAATGCCTCAACATCTCTGGGAAGTAGATGAGTGTATCTGCATTAAGATGATAATCAGAAAATTCCTCATATATTACATGATATATAGCTCCAGTCCAGAAATCATCATGTGCCCTAGTAATTCAAACAAATAAGCTTAATTAAAGCATGACTTAGTTCTCCCATTCCTAAATATCCAAATACAAACATCTCCATTTCTAAACAAAAAGGAATACCAACCTGAAAAATATACCATAACAGTATGCATGAACAGAGAAAGTATCAAACGATCACAACAGCTAGGAAAGCAAATACATTATTTATTTTTGAGATAGATAAAATAACCAAAAAAACATAAGAACTTATATGCTATCAAAAAACTTAATGCTCCAAAAGATCCCAACCAACCAATATAATGGGCACCTTGACATCCCAACTGTTGAGATTGTTGATAGACACCAAACAACCAACTACAACTTACCACTTAGACTTTGGCACTATTATATGGTGCATCCATTTTATACATCAACATTTTCCCAGAAAAATTAAAAGCACAACTCCAATTAAAGAGCGGTAATGATTGTTTGTCAATTAAAAGATCACAAGGGAAACTACAAATAAC